AAAAAAAAAAAATGATTAAAAAATTTAAATGAAATGCACAACAATGTTTTTTAAACTGTAAAATCTAAAACTAAAAAGTAAATTACATTAGAAAAAAAAATTTAAAATTACAAAAATACGTATGTCCTCAAAAATTAAGTGAAGTTAAAAAGATATACTTTTCTGTTTAAAATAATTTAAACTAAAAAATTAAATAAAAGAATAATGTTCCCAAACGTAAATAGATATTTGAAAAAATATATTTTTCTTTTTAAGATAATATAAACTAAGAATTGAATGAAAATTTTATTAAAAAAAAAGAAAAAAATAACAATAATTTAAAAAATTAATTAGAAACTAAAAAAATATTTCCCTTTTTGAAATATTATAACCTAAAAATCAACAGAAAATTAAACTAAAAACAGAAAAAAGATAATTTAAAAGTAGAAAAGAATTTATCAATGCCTAAAAATTAAAGCAAATTAAAAAAAGATATATGTTTTCTCTTTTAAAACAATAAAGTTTGAAAATTAAAAAAATTAAAAACAACGCTGCCCGAGGTCTCGAATCTCGAAGCTCTCGAATAGCATGGCGCGAACAAAATAATATACGAGTACATACAAGTGCTTTCTGTCAAAAGAAGTTTTCTGCATGCAAGTTGGCAAGGGAGCTTTTTTTGTAAGTCTTTCGGGGCAGAATAATCAAAATCTTTTAAACTGTCTTTTGACCCTGTTAGTAACATTATGCAGTTTAAATTTTGGCTCAAGAAACCTGTAGAAGTGAGCATTTATATTACGTTTCTCGACTTTTAGCCATTCTTCGAACAATTTCTCAGAGAAAAAATAAAATTTCACTCTAGTGTGCACTATAAAATTCATATTTTTATAAACAAAAAAGATGTTGCTAGAATACATATATTAAAAATTAGCCCGGCGGCATGAGACGACATCTTACTTTCGGTCCTTCAAATGCGAAAATATTTGAAAAATATGTAATTTTCTTTAACTTTTTCAAAGCCCATTTTCTCAACATCAGACATGATAAAATTTTTTTGTAGCAGAATAGATTTAATAAATACAACCAAAAATATGAGNCTAGTGTGCACTATAAAATTCATATTTTTATAAACAAAAAAGATGTTGCTCGAATACATATATTAAAAATTAGCCCTTCGGCATGAGACGACATCTTACTTTCGGTCCTTCAAATGCGAAAATATTTGAAAAATATGTAATTTTCTTTAACTTTTTCAACATCAGACATGATAAAATTTTTTGTAGCAGAATAGATTTAATAAATACAACCAAAAATATGAGCCGTTATTAAAATTTCCCCCAAAATTACGCGCTTCTACATTTTTTTTTTGTTTGTTTTTTAATTTAGAAAATCAACTACTTCTTTTTGGTTTCAGTATGATATTATAAATTGAATTCCAAACACTATCACATCCACCACAATCAGGGCTCTGGGGATATCCTTTATGTTAATACGTAATCCTTTTGTAGAAATCAGGGAATGATTTTTGTCCACCCACTGAGGGACGTGTAAATGTATGTATGCATGCGATTATGAACACCAGCTTGCTTGAATGAATTTTTCTTCTACAAATAATTTGTTATGCATGTGTGTGTGTTTGTTTGTGGTTGTTTTCTCAATGATCTTTACTTTGATAAATCGAAAAATTTTTAGTGCCAAGTGACATGCTAAATTACTACTATTAATAACGATATTAGTTTATGTATGAATTGGTTTTATAATACGCCTTAGTCAAGGTCAAACTCACCTAAAGTTTACATTGGATATTTCTCCTTTTTGGCTCTGCATGCGCGACAGCTTTAGGAACACCTCTTCCAGACTAATACATTTGTACATTGACAGTAAAACGCTTGGAGACTCCTCCGCCAGCAAATGACCGGAACGCATAAGACCAATCTGAAATTTTAATTAACAAAGCATTGCACTCACTTTCGCACTTCGCGCACACTCACATGCCGCATCACTCATACGCACCGTATGCGCCTGACGCGCTTCCTCAATGTAATGTGTCGTTATGATGACTGTCTTTTGTCCAGCCTTTGTGATATGCACCAAATGACTCCAAATACTTTGCCGCAATAACGGATCTACACCCACGGTTGGCTCGTCCAGAATCAACAATTCTGGATCATGCATCAAGGCCACGGCAAAGGAGACACGTCGCTGTTGGCCACCACTCAAATTCTTCACCAAACGTTTCTCAGAAGGCAGATCAAGGAAATTCAACAGGAACTGCAGCCGCTCGATAATCTCCTTGGTGCCCATACCGAATATCCAACCGAAATACATCATTGTTTCACGTATGGAGAATTCGCCGTATAAGGCGATCTCCTGTGGCATGTAGCCGACACGCTTGCCCGGCACGCCTGAGCCAGGTGTTCCCGGTTTGCCACCGAGCACGAAAATTTCGCCAGAGTCAAGACGTCGTCGTCCCACAATGCAAGAGAGTAAGGTAGTTTTGCCACAACCAGAGGCGCCGAGGAGGCCATAGCTAAAATTGGAGGGAGAAAGGAGGGCGATTGGTTATTAAATGGAAATTAAAGTTTATGAGCAATAATACCAATCCAAAACTTTTTAATAAAGATCAAATATTATCTCACTAGCCAATTGATGTTTGGACGGTTTGTGTATTTTAAGTTTAGGGAAGCCTGAATAATAAAGGGAGCCTACCTGTAAAAAAGGCAAAAAGTACCAACTTTACTCCGATTTTACTATAATCTAGGACTAGAAAAAAAACGATAAAAACCCCTTATGAAGTAGCTTTCAGAACCAAAAGGATTTTCGGAATGCAGCTGGCCTCATTTTTTAAATAGAGAAGCTGCTATGTACACCTCCACCGTCTACTTTTATCTTAAAAAGTTACATCCAAACAAATTTAAATTTATTTCTTAAAATCTGAAATTTTGAAGAAAGTGTAATTTATACTACATATAGAGAGTAATTTAGAAACTGCAATTTGCATTTAAAACTTTGAATGTGGCAACAAGCTACAGAGGCAAAAAATATCGTCGACCTGGTTTAAGTCGTGCGCTAGTCAAATAGTACCGGCCAAACNTATACTACATATAGAGAGTAATTTAGAAACTGCAATTTGCATTTAAAACTGTGAATGTGGCAACAAGCTACAGAGGCAAAAAATATCGTCGACCTGGTTTAAGTCGTGCGCTAGTCAAATAGTTAGTACCGGCCAAAATTGAAAGATAGCAAGGCCGCCCAAAATAGCGGGGAAGAAAGTGTGTACCCGAAACCAACAGGGAAGAGAGGTTGCATCCGAACCATAGAAGAGAGCAGTTGTAATCGCGCCCATTGATGAAAGGAGGAGCGAGCAAGCCAAAAGACAGTCAAACGTTGCCGCCAGTGGGCAGAGAAGCAGGCAAGTAACGCCAGAACAGAATATTACCATGAAGTATCGGTACATAGAGCACCACGGTGGAATAGGCCGAAGCTAAACTCAAGCTATTTATTCTGATGCCCTTAGTGCCGACAGCCGACAAGTTGATAACCCTTTTTGCGGAGTCTACTTATTTCAGGTCAGGTATGCAAGTCTTGACACTTTGCAATTTCGTGTCTATGATCTGAGCTCGAAAAATATACAATATTGTTTAATTTTTTATTTTTTTTGGATTCAGAACTTCCATTAGTTAATGGATTGTAGTTAGATATATATGTTATCGGAAAAGATACCCGAACGGTAAAGCTGGTGTCTAAACATTCCTATTTATTTTCAGATTGGGTGCGCATTTGGAAATTATGTACGCTAGTCGGTTGATAAGAAATAATTTGGACAAGAAATGTACCATTAGAGCGGAAAGAACTCAAAATACTTAACTGATATTTGATAAAAACGTGTAATATTCTGCAGCTTAAAGTGCAGTAGTAAGCTATATATAGAAAACCTATGTATAGAAAAACTATGGATGAAGTTGACCACAACTTACACTTGTGGCCAGCTGATTGAGTTTAGTTTGAGATTTTTAACTAGTTTTGGCTATTTTTCTTTTAAATATTTATTTAATGCTTATAATTTTTATTTATAAAAGTCTAGCACACTACATAACCAGCATTACATAAATTCACATTTCAAAGTTCGTACAAATATTGTAAAAAATTTAAGAAACATTAACAGTTACACCCAAAAATGTTAAGCTTCTTATTGCCAATAAATTTAGCACGTTAAAATACAAATTTCTAGATGGCTGACGGAGTTTTGCGATATGGAAGAAAATTCAGTCAGCCAAAAAAAAATTATTAAAAACCAACGCGATTCTCTAGAGTCTTGAAATTTACACTTTAACCTACTAAAATTTGAAAGGCTATAAAATTGCATACCTAAAATTTTTCCAACAATTCTGAATAAAAAGTTGAAAAGTTTCGGAAGTGTTAAATCGTCAAAAAATAAATTGATCTCCCAAGATCGATTCAAATATTTTGCCAAAAACCGCCTTTTACTTAATTTTTATAAAGAAACAAAGCACTTGCGATCTGACAAGCAGAGCGTAATTTTTAAGATGCTCGGACTCGCCGTTGATTTTTGGCATTTTTTTTTTGTTGAGGTTTTAAAAACCTGCGTAAAGATCCAACAGCCGTGTATAAGGAAAACTATGTTTATAACTTAAAAAAAAATATGGCCACACTTTTTATAAGCATATAATAAAATATAACGTCTTTAATAGTATACTCGTACGAACATACATATGTCAGATGTTGCCGACTTGACATGCTATCGTTCGAGTCAATGCTAAGCGGCACAGTTCAAGTTGAAATTCAGTTCAAGATAACCAAAAAACCCCAAAAAGTTATAAAAAACAACAGCTAAACGATTCGACCTACCGACAAATGCAGACAAACCATTAACGTATGCACATACACACATACATACATACATACATATGTATATGTACAACAAAGAAATATTTAAAAAGGTAACAAAACAAAATAAAAACAAATTGACAAAGAACGATGCGAAAACAAACGAACACCGGCAGCAAACACCTTGAATTTGGCATAAATACACACAGGAACGTGTGTTTGTACATTAGGGTGCATCACTCCACACACGAAACAAAAGTCGGTACTGTTTTTCCATCGGAATTATAAACAGTCGTTATTTTTGTATTTTTTCCCTGTTAATGTGTTGAATTATATTTTTTTCATTAAGAAAAACACAAAAAATTATTAACTAATTTATCAGAAACTCTCAGGCCTATCGAAAAGAGATGTATATACGGTTTATGGAGAATTTCATAAACTTTCTTTTGCCCTATTTACGATTGTTCAAGAAGCTCGTAAAATATACGTTATTAAGTGCAACTACTTTCTTTTTAAGCTATATAACGGTAAATTGCAAATATCTCGAAAACCAATCCATAGAAAAAAACAACTCGATTTTCGGAATCACCGAACAATTCTACATAGGATTAGGATAGTGACGTCGGGAGAACAAAAAAACTAAAATTTTAGCTTTAAAGATCTGCACACAAATTTTACGAACTGAATCGAAATAATAAGATTTTGTATACTATTTTCAAATCGGTCCTGCTCACGTAAATCTTAATATATTCCAGAATCATTTTCGCGAACATCTTAAAAGTCTGGTGGAAATTCTGCAACTTTTTTTGTTGTGAGGCAGCCTAATGATATGTAAATAGAGACATATACATCTGTATCCATATTTTATATAATAAAATATAGAAAAAATAATAATTTGAAATAAATGCAAAGCGATATGTAGTTTTTTTTTTTGCAATATTTTTTTCGGAAATCTTATTTCGAATAAATTGACAAGCTCAAGCTCAGCGTATAAGCGACAACTGACTCAGAGGTAAAAACCTACATATGTACATACATACATATACATATACTATTTGTACTTGAGTTTGTTTTTGGCAGCGTCACGTACAGTTTATTCATTTACACAATTACCAGCGATTTTCCAGCCGAAAAATAGAACGTTCAAGCAAAAAGAACAACCAAAGCAGTGCTGCTTATTACAAGAAACATTTAATATGGAAGCATATATACATACGTACATACTATGTATATAAGCCAATTAAGTTCTTGGTTTTCGTTTCATATTTTTTGTCGACAATCTGCACGAATTATGGACGGCAATGACTTGCTTGTCAATGAATAGTATTGCCAGTTGTTAATGTGCCTTTTTTTTGATTCATACAACTTTTATGCTTTTATTTTCACTACAGCTGCTGGGGGTCAAACCTTTAATAAATGCTACTGCCTATTTATGCATGTATGTATATGCCGGTCCATTAGTCATTTAGCTGCACAACAATGCCACACTTCGCAAATTAACTTGCGCCATACAAGCTTACTCAGTTTGCAACAGCTGATTTGACGCGACTCACAAAATCGTTCAATCTAGCAGTTAGCTGTACGTTAAGGTTTTATCTTTGACAGTGACAAGCAACAAAAGAGCTGACTCAAAATTTTTGCTTTAGTTTATTTTTTTGTTTTGTTTATTTTAATGCTTGTATTTTAAGTGTGTTTACCTACATTCGCAGGCGATTGATGCCTTCAAAAATGTATGTCAATGTTTTGCATTCTTCTCAACTTTGAACTGTAGCGCATTCAACTTTTCTGTTGAACTCAAAATATTTGCAGTTAAGCCAAATGCTGGCAAAGTTGTATTTAACAAGTATTTAGGAAGTATATTTTAGTGGTTTTTTTATAGTATTTTTATTTGAAATTTAAACATTCAAAAATGTCTTCCAAAGGCTGATTTAAAATATAAAAAACTAACAGAGTATAAGTTGGCATTTGACCACGAAGATAGCACTTATTCTCTTAAGTTTAATTCATGTTTTCCATATGCCGCCCGAAAAGATACTAGGTTCGGTGGACTGGTCTGCAAGACGCGACTCAAGTACTTGGGTTCACGCTTTTTCAACAGTCTGGGCGTAGTAGCAGAGGTAGAACTGTTGGATCTCCTTCAGAGATAGTAAAAGGGTTCAGTAAAATAATGACTTAAAGGTACTCTTTCGATATGGGTACGTGTCTCCTCCTGACACTCACTACAAGAGGGCACTCACTGTGGAAAATTCTGTCTCCGAGTGAGAGTATGGATTATTCCACATACGTCCGCCTAACCTAACCTAACCTACCTTTCCATCCAATTGCGCTTCATCGGTGGATAAGTTCACAGGGTCATAGTTCCTAATGCTACACCCCACCCCGTCCTTTCGTAAGGGAATACAGGTAGTCAACGTCCCTTAGCCTGACATCAGCTTTGCTTTCTATACCTATGGGAATACCGTTTAATATTGCGTTCAGCACAAGGGTCCGAAGGGACGCACTGATTCCAATTAAGGCAGATTTTTGCACCCTCTTCACCTGTTAGACGATGGTCACCTTGACTACTGCCCTCCTCTTAATAAGGGCATACAATGAAGCTTGTTTAATTATAGTTTCTTAGAGCCAAAATAACATTTTTGGTTGGAGTCCCAGCGCTTGGAAATGTGCACTGCGCAAAAATTT